ACAAGGGGACATGTCCTGAGTTGTTCTAATGAGAACCCGGCAGCAGTACAGATCTCTTTGAATAGATCCAGCGAGTCGTCCATTCCGTTCTGCCGAAACGTGTTCAGATCGGTCAGCACGTCAACCAAACAAAATCTACTCACTACCTCAGGATCCTCCAGCAACACTCGTTGGTATTCGATTAACGAGACAACAAATAACACGACGTCCGTTCGAGGGAAGTAGTTGGGCCATTTCCTTCTCTCGGACTGCTGACCGCCACAGTCCCAGAAAGTATATGAATCATCCGGAGTGGTGAATGACCTTTGGTAGACTCCGGTGGTCCGGATGTACGACCCAAGAAGGTCCTGGTGTGACGGCACAAGTGAAGCCGGTCGACGGGCTACACGGCTAAGGCTACGGGAACGATTCACCATGCCCCGAAGAGCCTCGAATAAAGATTTGAGATTATCCAACGGTGCCTCGAGCCCCATGGTGCCCATGTACAAGACAGAATATATCGAGGCTACGGAAGAACACAAGTCCCCAAAGCTTGTGATATTTTTCTGAACGAAATCGTGGAGCTCCAGTAATCTTTCTGACAACGACTTTGAAGACAACTCCCCTAGCGGAGTGAGCTTGCCAAAGTCATTTCGAATGGTGTGGATACTGCATCGAGCCCACGCAGTGTTGAGAGTCGAATCATCCCCAGAAAATTCAGGAATCTGAATAGCGGCCCCCAAAAAGGTTATCAGCTGGCGTTCCATCATTTTTAGGAAGCTTTCGGTGTCATAGAGCGCGGTAAAGGATGTCGAACCGTGATGCGCAAGAATCAGCTGTTTCATGATAGTGGTCTAGACAATGTTAGGAAGGTGAAGCAATGTTAGTTTAATCAAAGGTACCAATTGAGGTGTAAGTAACCTTTCCACCGCAACCCCCGCCGATTAGTAGGACCAAGTTAGCGTCACGCAGGTTAAGGCTGTCACCAGACAGGTTCGACGAGGCCTGTGTCCCATTCTTGACGAGCTGGCGTTGATTGAATGCCACCGCGTTCATTAAGAATCTCCGACGAGGAGGATCCACAGGACCCCGCTCGAATTGGGCCCACATGTAATCTGTTACTAGATCATCAGATCCAAGGCCCTGCGAAAGCTCGGAGATGGCATTGTTGACGACGCTCATCAGACCATCGTCGGTAACAGGGTCGAGACGGAGTCGGAGCACCTGAAACAAAAGTCTTCCCGCCATCATACCAGTGCTTGTTCTATCCTGATCAAAAAGTCCTATAGACCGAAGGAACCGGACAATATTCAGCTCTTCGGAAAGGATGAGGCGGGCATGCTTGCTAATGCCAAGGACGGAGATGAGAACAAGATGGAGGATGAAGGGTGACGACAATAGTAGTATGGAGGTATGTGCAAGTTGAGGGGTAGCTGCGACGTAGGATTCGTAACCAGCTCCACGGAGCGCTAGTATCTTCTTTCTTGCAACCTCATCCCCAGTTTCTCGTTTTAACGCGCTACCATCAGAAGAATTGACGAGCATGAGCACAAGCGTAAGAGGGAGACTGAGTTTGGGAGAGACGCACTTTTCGGATGATTTGGAGTCCCAAAGACAATCGATAATATCGCAAAAATGTCTTTGGAGCTTCGACGTCGAGTCGAGATCGACAAGAGCGGTAGCGAGTCCCACAAAGCGCATTGAGCCAATGAGGGTCATGATTACTCGTAAGGTTCGCATTCGGATCGAGAACGGATAGCCAGGACTAGAGAACTTAGGTTCAGTTTGCAGTCCTCAGGCCAAATCTGAGATGAACATACTGCGACAGTTCTAGAAGAATTTCGCACATCTCTTTGACCTCTGAAGATGGTGTGTCTTTGAGCCAAGCGTTGTCGCTCTTGACTGAGGCCTCCATGCGCCCGAGTTGCCTATTGACTAGAACGTTGTCAAAACCATTCAGAACGACGTCTCCCAATCTTTTGATGGCTCTGCCGGAGAGGTAGCCCAATCCAGGGACCGTGGTTCGAGTCGAGCTTGAGATGGAAGAGTAAACGCTGGTACGGTGCGAAGAACGGTCCTCCATCGTTCGTCGAGAGAGAAAGAGGGAAGGAAGCTATTTATCGAAGAGTCAACAGCCTTCGTGCTATGCGTTGTATAAGGCACCAACCGTATAGGGTGTGAATATACGGTATATGGTTATATAACCTATGGATACTTTTAAGAACACCTATCACGGGAGTGCTATGAGTTCAGTGTGAAGTCACACCTCTGCTTCAACCGAGAGGGAAGGCCGATCTCCAGAATGCCTCCTTCGGTCCCAGACTTCCTCAGTAGGGCTTCACAGATAGTCTCTGCCTTGAACGAGGCTCACAGATCATGAGAATCTCACTCTCGACGGCGTGAAGATGCACCCAACCGGAGCATTGGTCGCCAGGATACTGGCAGGACCGTTACGGGCCGTCAGGTTCACTGGTCTATTTGGGTCACATTAATTAAAGCCAGCTTCTTTTCCCATTGATGATTGCTGCTGACAACGATAATTTTCTCTCTAATGACCAAGTGGCTATCGAAAAACTCGCTGTCACTCATAGATTCTGGACCTAAGAGCCCCTGACAGGGTAGTAAACTGTTTGTTCAAACTTCAGATGGGGAGTAGACATACAGTAAACCATAGAGTATAAACCGTATATAAGCAGTATATTAGACAGTACGGTTGGAGCATTAGCATTATAACATCCCCCGATTCCCAACTGCCTGAGGTGCCGCATGATGGGGGGAAAATCGGGTGACTGAGAGAGCTCGGCACTGCCTCGGTGATGTTTACTGTACAGCCGCGTGGCGTGAACTGGCACAAAATAGTAACTCAGCCGTGCCGCGAAAACGGCACGAAGAGTCTACTTACCTCCGGAGTCCCGCCTCCACCAGGACAACTTACTGCTGATGTGTCTACTCAAGAATACCTGATCATGAGCTACTGTAACGGTCAGTTTTAGTGTAGTTCGATGCTAATCAATCATTGCTTCACCTTTGAATCCAAGACTATCAGGTTCGCTCATACTCGGAAGTTTCTCCACAGTATGTTCTGACAGCGGCGGCTTGACCAGGTCTTGTTGTATCGTCAACATTCACATGAAGTTTGAGAAGGTTTGATCAATACAGAATGATCAGCATGCGGTATACATCGGTGAATAAGTCGTAATACCAACAGAACTAGGTGTTGGGAGATCCGAGAATAGGAAACTATATACATAACGTTGATATATACGCCATCATGAGAAATTGTGGGGCTACTAGTGATACTATGATCAAATGGACTAAGGGAAGGGAGAAGAGAAGAAACGTCTGTAAGGATACTATAGACTTCCTTTTCGTTCGATTCGCCGCTGACGAGTGAAGAACTTATAGGAATTCAACGGCAACGTCAGCCTGCCATGCGTCCTCAAAGACATTGGTGAGAGAAAGTAGCCCGATATGGTCGAATTTAATTCCACCACTGGAGCTGAGACGCCATTGGATTTCTCGTGTAGCTTCGTATTGATGTTTCTATAAGGAAAAAGCAGTCTTACAGTTAGGGAGAACCGGCGACGTATTGACATGTCATAGACATACCTCGATGTACCTCGCAAAGTTCTGTGAGATGACCATAGCGAGCTGGGCACGAGTGATCGGTCCTTGTGGCGTAACGACATCAATGCTACGAATCCATTCACTGTGTTCGTATCCGGGCCACTACATGTCAAAATCGATCGTCAGTATTGTCAATAATTCTATGGACACGTCGGCAGGGACAAGTTACTCGAATATGAAACGCGATCTTCCTCAGCTGAGTGTGTCCTAGAATCCTGTCATTTGCGCCTTGCATAGCCTGTTGAAGTCCTTGAGGACCCCTCGTCCTCACCTCACGAAGTGGAATTCCTTGGCCCTGATGACCGATGAGGTCGAACGAGATCGTCCCGTTCAGAGGATGAGCACGTCCCGTTTGTGCGCGCCATTTGGAGGAAGGGACGTATGGCGTTTGCGGAACGCGGCATTTGCGAGTGAGAGGATTGGCGGGGTGACTCGCACTACCATTCTGATTGTAGGTGAGAGCTCCGGAGAGGGATGAGTAGGAGGACATTTGGGATGCGGGGACGTTGGAGTGGAGGGAGTTGTAGTGGGACATGGTTCTCTTTGGTGTGGTGAAATCTGTGAGGTGAGGCGATGGCGTTTGGAATTGCGAGCTTGTGTAGGAGTAGTTGTTGAGGGAGCTATTCTGCGTCCCCGACGCGTTAAATACCTGTCGAGGCAGCAGCTTCAACATGAAGGTCTCAGGCCACAGGGCCCAACCATTGGCAAAGCGGGAGAAGGCATTCAAAAAATGTCCATTGTGCCCGACAATGGTGAATCAATATGCCATAGTCAACGGACAATGGACATTGCCCATTCGAGGGTGAATAGAGGGTGGTTACATATGCATCGATGAGCACGGCCTGAGTATTCGCTCGTGTGGGCCCGACATACTGAGATAAACCGCCGAAGGAAAGATACGAAGAGCTTGATAACTTAAGAAAGTTGTAGCCAATGTAAACCTTGGCGATTGACATCGCTAAATAGGGAAATAAAATTCCCTTTAATGGTAATAGGTATCTATACTTTTGACTCCTGCCATGCGAGTGTTGTGATGATCAAATATTCATGCCACATTCAGGCCGTTGACTATTGTTTTCCACGGGAAGGGCCAGTCTACAAATGATTTCCGCTCCTCACCGGCACTGCCCTTATGGCGCCACGGTGGTCCAAGTTGTGGCCAACCTCGTCTAGATCTCATTGTTGATCCCACTCGGACCTGATCGTTACGCATTCTAGCCTTACGGTACGATTCCCCGACATAATCGTTGCTATTAAGTTTTTATAGATTGGACCGCTTTTGCTTGTCGTACTTGTGCGCTTTCCTATGTACAATATCCAAATGCATGGAGCAATCTGAACACATTTGAGCCAACGAACCGTGACTGAGCCGTTCGTAGTACTCAAAAAGCAACTGCCGGTTGGCTGGATTGAACAACCGACCTTTGCATTGGATACCCGGAAGATACAAGTGCAACGCTCTACCACTAAGCTAAACCGGCTTGTAAACGTACGTAACCTTTTTAGTTTAGACCCGGTCGAGAAGGTCTCCGGTACAGCTACGACAACACTTCTTTCATTGACCTGGCAGCGTCTTTCAATCCCTCCTGTATGAGTCTTTGAGCACCCATTTCCATGGGATCTGCACTTTGCTTTTCCAATTCGTCGCTCGGATGCCTCGATTCAGTAAGTTTCCCAGGCTTACCCCGAGCCCTCCTGCTACTTATCATATATCAACCACCATCGTCGTTCAGTCAAGCTTCAAGTTCGGATTTCAGCCCTTCATCACTTGCTACCGCTCCTCGATGCATTTTCCTATCTTCATACTGTCTACCTCTACTCCAAGAAGCAATCACAATCGAACGCCCTAATAATACAATTTGGACCATTCCAAGTAAATTCTGTCAAACCGAATGAAGTAACCCTGAGACCTCCCTGCGTACCTCAACGAGCTCCCAATAACCCTTGTAGCACATTCTTCTTCGGAGTAATATAAGCTGGTGAGCCTCTCCACTCTGGGCTTTTGGTGCGTTGTTAACCAGAGTCAGTTTCGAAAGATTGCTTCAAGGAACGGTCTGAAACCCCAGAATATCTTGACGGCGAGAAAGGGGAACTGTACAAAATTGACGACTGCCGCTGGGGAGGCGAGTCCAGGGACGCGTCTACCCATCTTGATAAAAGTCGTGTCAAGCAACGAACCCTGGGGCGCGCCGCTCATACATTCGATGAAAAACGCGCTAGCTGGGGTTACAGTCGCTTCTTTTGTTCCCTCTATCATTCTACTATGGGAGTACGCGCAGCCCGCACAAGCTTGTACGGTACGGCGCCCTCTACACTGGATTCAAATCCTACATTCACTCATCATCACCTTAATCCTTAGGTCTCATCCTCGCATTTGCCATATGTGTGAACGTCGTGGCAATTGCTCTCGCTGTTCAAGTCAAATTCGATGTGGACGACGCAATATCTTGGTATAGATATACTAGCTCAAGCACTGGGCGCACTCGGAGGGCTTTGGTGTTGACAACGAGACATTTAACTGGTACGGATACCTCACAATCTCAGTACTAGCATGATTGAAACTGATATCTCTCTATAGACCGGTGTGCCATCGTCACAGCTATCCTGGGCCTGGTAACTTGGATATGGACAAGCGTATTGTCAATCTGTTTCGCCATTATCGTCTTGCGATGACCTGATTTCCCGCTATCCAGACTTTCGTATAGTAATCAGCCCCGTTCAAAGAGCAGCCTTTCCTTTGCGCTACCCCATTTTATTTCCCATATCATCTTCTCTGTGCTCTGGCTCGGTAAGCTCGACCTCATCTTCCAAGTGCATGTCAATGAAAACTCCTCACAGCGGTTGGTATCATGCTGCTCACCGAAACGGGTTATTCTTGTGCAATTCCCTATACATCGAACTTGGGTTTCGTGATGGATCTTATAGGAGCTTGGTGCGGGATCAGGCATATAATATAAAATAATTAAAAAATAAAGTATTTGTGCTATGGCACCGCATTTGAATGTCTGGCTTTTCAGGAGTCGGGAACACTATTTGCTGACATGGACCGACAACTTCAAAATACCCATTTGACTGGAATGGTCAGATGCGATGTAAACTACGTATCGACGCGGGATGACTGCTGCAGCGAGTGCCCTGTCGTTGACGATCTCGATTTTGTGTGCGCCTCTTACCAATCAAATTCCATCTCGGTTCTGAATTACATCCCAACCGCACAGCTGGAGCGGTAGCCCTTGTCATTGGGCTATCTACCCGCCGTACCGGCGGGCTCAACGGGAAGCTCACTGCACCCGACAACGTAGGAGTGACGCAGGCACAAATAGCTACTCCCTACATCGCTAGCGTACCGGCGGCTTCCTGCGTGCATGGTGTCTCCAATTCTCCGTTTGTTCAAACGCCTGTTGCAATAATCACGCCAGGAGCTCCTACTGCTTCCTTCACTCCCGGAACTCCTGTTGTTCCCTACGCTCCCGGAGCT